CACACACACACACACACACACACACACACACACACACACACACACACCATAGAACCCCTGCACTCATTAGCCGTCATTCCCCTTTCCCTCTTTCTCCAGCCCTGGTAGCCCCTGATCTCTTCTTAGTCTGTAGGAATTGGCTGGTTTTGGCCATTTGCTACGAATGGAATCGTGTCCTGTGTGGCCTTTTATATCTGGCCTCACCGTGTTGTTTTCAGGCTACATCTGTGTTGCGGTTACACTTCAGCGCATCTCATTTCTGTGTAGAACTCCATTGTATGTGCAGACCATGCACCATTTCTACTTGGGATTTGCCTCAGAGTTGATTTTTTGGGGGGGCCCTAAGTATTGATGTGCTTGGACTTTGAAGAAATACCTCACCCTGCTCTGGTCCGAATGTATCTTTCTGGTCTGGAGTCAAGGTGAGGCGGGTGTTGCGTACGTCCGGGGCATGCTTTTCTTTCCAGTTTGTGGATTTACTGTCTCGCGACGCCCAGTTCTGCGTTGTCCTGGGTCAAGATCCTAAGTGGACCCCTGTTTCGCAGATGTCTTCCCCCTTTCTCTATCATCAATCTGGAAAGTCCCGCTCAGCCCCGATCTGGAGCTTGTACCTGGTGCTGCTCAGAGAAAAGCACTGTTTGGGCACAAATGGTCACTTTTCAGTCTGAGTAGACGGCTGTCCAGGCTCCGGCCAACTGTTCTTTGGCCAGCCCTGAAAAACATGGCTGTCTGTGAGCAGCAAGGCTAGCAGGTGTGGATGGAAACCCGGCACTCTAGAGGGGAGGTCAGGCCCACACTTTCCAGGCAATTCCTGAAAGCCAGAATCAGACCGGGATTTCTTAAGAGTCTGGCAACTTGGCTGGGTAGCTGTCCCCTCCCGTGGCAATCTGATTGTGCATTTCAGAGCATCTTGCTCCCCTCTATCCATAATCCCCAGGAGCCTCGTTCCCCTCCCCAACTGGTGTCACCCAAGGCAGGAGTCATGGTAATGGAACCCCCACCCCCACCCCAAACTCTCCCTCAGCAGCATGCTGTTTGCACTGGGGAAGTATCCCACCACCTCAAGATGTACTTTGGCTCCCTCCCTCAAGGCCTCTTGTCCTTGTCTCTGAGGGAAAACCCATCTGGCTTCTCTGAAGCAGGTTGTTGACTAGAGGGATGAAGAGGGATGGCTGGGGGTCAGGCTGGGCTGCAAAGCAGCAGCAGGCATTTTAATCTGCTTTGGTTTCTGGTCTTTGGAAAGGGGCTTGGCTACAAGGCCCAATTGTTTATGTCTTAGGAGCCAAAACAGACAAAAGGCCCTGGAGAGAGTCCTCGAGGCCAGATAAAATGCCAGGACTACTTGTCAGCCCAATACAACTCGATTCTTTCCATCCCTGTCAGCTCCTTTAAGAAGGTTATGGGCCCTTAAAACTAGTTTATCCCAGAGTGTTCTAAAACATGGCTTTGCTTGGAAACCAACGCAGGAGGTTGAACAGAGAAAACTCACCATGCGAGTCCCTTGCCCTTCGTGTGGGTTTGAGTTTAGAAAAGCAATTTGCCTTTGTAGCTCTAGGTGATGGCAGGATGGGTTATCCAGATCGCAAAACCCATAAGCTTCTTCCACATTTAGGAAATATTTTCATTTTTTGGGGCTAGATTCTAGGTGACCCTTACTCTGCAGTGTCATGGGCTTCTCCCTATAAGGCAGCGCAGCAGGGCCTCTGGGGAACTGATAGAGGACCAAATCCTTCCTGCAAATCTCCTGCTCTGAAGATGAGAGATCTAGTTGGGAGAGCGAGATCAAATGGACTGCTTCCAGCCCCTCAATGATGTCACAACAACCGTGCGACACGCTTTTAGCTCCAGCCAGCTATTGAGGATAGGAACAATGGTCCAGACGACCACGCATCAAACTGCTGTCTTTCTTATGCTTATCTTTTTTTTTTTTTCCCCCCTTAATGGCTCTAGTGAAAACAGCTTTCCCAGAAAAGGTAATGCCGGCTCCTCCTACATTCCCTCCCTTTGCAGCCAGTAACTCTGTTTGGAAACCGCAAATTATTTACCCTTCCTCTTCCCTCTTTCCTACCATTGGATTTTTATTTTTCCCCATTGATTTTTTTTTTTTCCAGGAGAAAAACAAAATTTGAGATACTTGGTGCACCCTCGCGTTTTAATTTCTTAAGACCTGTTTAACTCTCCTCCAAAGGCTGTTCAATTCTTGAATGACTCAGGAGGCCTCCGAGGAATGGCTTATGCCAGGCAGGTGCCCCATAAACGGGCCTTTGGAGCTCCAGTTGGACCCCTGAGAGCCACTGTTGATTACTTGTCCTCGAGGCAGGGCACAGGGCCTTCCTTGTGACTGCCTTGCCTTTGTTTTGGACAGAAGTTAATTTAACAACCCAATTTGGTGAGGCTCCAAGTTTGTCACCAAATAATATTGAGCAATCGTATGTTTAATGTTCCCAGGCATGTGGCTGAAACCTTTTGAAGGCGAAGGGTAGAAGGCGACAACCTGTTTGTAAGTCTATTTTTTTGCAATTTTTTTTTCCTGCAGTACTCTCTTGGAAAAAAAAAAAAAAGTTACCCCTCCCCCAAAACAGAACGAAACCAAAGACCAAACCAAGTTGGATTCCTTCATCCGTGTTTGTTTTCACCCAACTAGTTTCCCTTGGGTTCAGCAACAAAGAGGGGAGTTTTGCCTTCCTCTCCTGAAATACAGGCCCCTCCTCTAATTACCCCCCTCTAATGCAGAAGGATTTTCCTGTGTCACGGTGCCCATCAATGGCATAGTGCCATGGACAGTGTCAAATTTTTTGAAATGTCAAACGTTCTAAGTGTTTGATTCATCAAGTCCGCTGTTGGGAGTTGTGAACGGGGGTCTGTTCCTGAGCTTGCAATTTAGGTATTGGCAATTTGTTTCAAAATCCTTTGGCCCTGTCTTTGGAATAGGGGCCAAACCTTTCATCACGGAGGTCAAGGTTTCCGCTCTAAGCTGGAGAGCCACTCTCCAGTGTAAACCCAGGGTGGGGGTCGCTGATCAGTGGCTGGGAAAAAAGGTTCACGCCATCCCAGCAGTGAAACTGGGTCTCTCAGAAAGTAGCTGGAGCCAAGGAAAACCCTAGATTATGCTCTCTACTCCATGCATCTCTCCCAAGGAGCTGAAAAGCATGCGGCGACCATGATCTCATTCCTAAACACAACACCTCATCCACCCAGCAGGGAGATCAAATGGGCCCAGTTCATAGGTGGAAGAGGTGGAACCAGAAGTAGGAAGAGGGCTTGAAAGCTGAGAAGTACATGAGGAACAGAAGGCAGAGGTTGGGAGTCCTTTCCAGTGGGGTGCTTAGAGAATACAGGAGAGATAGATAAGTATTTAAGGTAATGGAGGGCTTGGGTCTGCCCATATTTGGTTTTGTTGAAAAGGTATGAGGTGGACACAATACTGTCAGCATGGAAGGGGCACCTGGGGCCAGAGGTTGCATACTGAAGGATGGGAAAGGTCAAGAGGGAGTCTCTCTGACCTTACAGATACACCCTTGGGAAAAGGGAAAGACAGCTGAGTAGGTGCGTGGGGATATGCAAGACCCACTGGGCAGTGCCTGGAGGAGGAGCGTGCTCCACCATGAAAGGGGAGGTCACCTTACTACACTTTAATGCTTCCATGCCCATTCAGGATGTAGCTTCCGGAAGGTTCCTCCATGCCCAGGCCGATGACGGTAGAATTCCTGCTTGCTTTCTTCCGCTGCCGGTTCCTCTATGCAGAGCCTGCACCCCCACCCATCAGAATCCCCCTGTGGCCCTCACGTTTCATAACTCTCAGATGCACTGACTTTCCACACGTAAGGAGCAGCCACGAGGGCCTTCTGTTGCTACTCTGCCACCAGACTCCAGTGTGCCCACTGGTGACAAGATGTCTCACCTTGGTCATACTGGGGAATCGTGTCCCTTGGAGCCCTTAGTGAAAACCCAGGCAGGTATTGTAGGTGGACCTGGGGCCCAGGACACAACACTCTTGAGGCCCTGCCCTTGTGAGGCAGGGGAGACTGCCCCACCATTCGTAGCGGTCCTTGCCCCCCCCTCGTCCTCCTCCCAGAATTGGGGAGGGTGTATAACAGCTTGTCTGCTGAAGGGTAAGGATTGGGAGATTGGGAGTGGACTTCTGCTCTTCACGGGGGTGGGGGAGACAGCAGAGTCCATGCAAGGATGTTCTAAAATGAGGAGCCTGCACCCGTTGTAGCTGGGATCAGGCAGGGCTTTCGTTTGGAAGTATTCATAGTGATGAGAGCAGCTCAGGGGAAAACTGCTTTCCTGCATACGGTGGGCCCTGTTCACCTTCCAGGGAGGGTATCTCAGGGACCAAAAAAGCGATGGCTTCCATAGGCCTCTCTCTGCCTCATTCATGCATGCTGCTGGCACCTCCCCTTCCAGGCCTCTCTCTTGCCTCCCTGCCAGTGACACCTCCCATTTCTCTCTCTTGCTAAGATGCTGAGCCCTACTTCAGAGAACCTACCGGCTGCCACGTGTTTCCCCGTTATTCCTGGACACTGACCTCTTCCCTGCCTGCTCCTTGCTTTCAGGTTCAGCCCAAGTTCCGCTACCCCTTCTACTATGAGATGTGCTGGTATGTCTTGGAGAGATACGTGTACTGTGTGACCCAGCGCTCCTACCTCACTCAGGAATACCAGAGAGAATTAATGCTTATTGGTGAGTAACCCGGACGTAGCTCAGCGCTGGCCGCTCGGCCAGTTGGGACATCCTTTAGGTCACGGAGCCAGCGGACAGTCCTGGGTCCCTGGGATTCTCCCGAGCCAGCATGCTGGGTAGGAGATCTCTCAGGAGGTAGCTCTGCATGGGAGCCTTCCACCTGGAACACGGAAGCCGAGAAAAGGAACTTGTACCTCTCAGACGAAACACAGTGGTCACTCCCTCTTTGACTGTGCAGATTCATGGAGGAGCCTGCCCCAGCGTAGTTGCTGAAACAGGACCATCCCACAGAGCAAAGAATCTAGGCTCTTTTGTCCCTCTGTGGTACCCAGCTGCCTTTTCTTACCAGAGGTTGAGCTTTTGTCCCCATAGGAGCAGGCCTGTGTTACACAGCTAGTACTCACAATCCAGGCCAGCTTTACACAGAAGGGGGTTGTGACCATGCTGGAAACACAGGCTTGAGGCAGAAGTGGATCTGGGATAGAGGCAGGGAAATTGCTTAGGCGCTCAGCTGTGGCGCCCTGCCCTGCTGTTGGTACTTAAAGGGACAACACCATCACCCATATCTTGATTCGTATGTGCCTACCCTAAAGTTGTATCTGGCCATGAGAGGAAGACCTGATCAGTATGTCAGGACCAGGTGTTTAGACTCTGTGGGACAGATTAACTGGTGTTGTATGTTACTATCACAAGATACAAACATGCTATGGGTCCAGCTCATGTTCACAATGTCTGCAATTTCTTCTCCAGCCTCTCATTTTTGAATCTCTTAGTCTTCCCCTTGGTCTTATCTTTTGTAGTATCAGGGGTTTGAGAGGGCTGGCAGTGGATTTTTTTTTTTTTTAAGATTTATTTATTTCATGTATGAGTGCTCTCTCTCCATGTTCTTTTTTTTATGCCAAAAGAGGGCACCAGATCTCATTATAGATGGTCATGTGCCCCAATGTGGTTGCTGGGAATTGAACTCCCCCCGCCTGGAGTCTTTGGCGTCTGTTTTGAGATAGGGCCTTGCTATGTAGTGCAAGCTGTCATCCGAGTCTTACTCCCCCTGCCTCCACCTCTCCAGTGCTGAAATTTCAGGTAGGATGTTGGTTGATGTTGTACCAGGAATTGAACCCAGGGCTTTGTGCATACTGTGCAGTCACTTCTGTGCTTTTTATTCTGTTCCCAGGTATATATAATCATCATGTTAGAACATTGTCATCGCTTTCAAAAATAAGTGTACCCCTAAGCTCTTTGTGTGTGGGGAGGGTGATTTGAGACAGGGTCTTGCTATGTTGAACAGGCTGCGCTTGAACTTATAGAAATCTGCCTGTGCCCCCTATGTGCTGGCATTAAAGGCGTGTGCTACCACACCTGACACCTCTCATCTTTTTAATTCTGATTACTCCCAGCCCTAAGTAGTTACTAGTGTACTTTCCCTAGAAATGCTCACACACACACACACCCGCACGCACACAAACCCTGGCCTAAGGACATTTCATATGAATAGAATTCTTTAATGTGTGGTGATTTGGACTAATCTGTATATATACAGATAACACTGTGAAGGGCCAGAAAGAGAGCATCAGGTCTCTTGGAACTGGAGTTATAGGTGGTTGTAAGCTACCATGTGCTGCTGGGAATGAAACCTAGGTCCTCTGCAAGAGCAGTGATTGTACTTAACCACTTGGGCCATCCTTATCCCTGCCCTTGACTAATCTGTATATATATGATAAAATGCCAGGTATATTACCAATGGTAATAAGCAGAGCTGGGATTTGAACCTGCATACGGCTGACTGTTTCCCTTTCTGGTACTGGAGGCCAGTACCAGATCCTTGCTTTTTTTACAGTAAGGGTGAGTAGAATTTACAGAGCTTCCCACATGGGATCATAATTATATCTTGCTATCTTCCCCACAGATGCCCCAAGAAAAACCAGTGTAGACGGCTTTTCATCTGATTCCTGGCTGGAGATGGAGGAGGAGTCCTGTGAGCAGCAGCCACAGGAAGAGGAGAAGGAGGAGGAGGAGGAAGAGGAGGAAGAGGATGGTGCAGATAAAACACCCAAGCCACCCACCGATGGCCCCACCTCACCCACCAGCACCCCCTCAGAGGAACAGGACAGCACAGGGAAGAAGCCCAGAGCCCCTGCCATGCGATTCCTCAAGAGGACTTTGTCCAATGAGTCAGAGGAAAGTGTCAAGTCCACAACAATGCCCATAGAGTACCCCAAGACACCCACAGGCTCCCCTGCCACTGAGGTCTCTACCAAGTGGACTCACCTTACCGAATTTGAACTGAAGGGCCTGAAAGCCCTGGTTGAAAAACTAGAGTCTCTTCCGGAGAATAAGAAGTGTGTCCCTGAGGGCATCGAGGACCCCCAGGCCCTCCTTGAAGGTGTAAAGGTGGGCAGGGGCCAAGGCTGGGTTGGGCTTAGGGGTAGCTATTCTGGGACTGGTCCAGGTTCTGGGGCCACTTAGCTGGGTGGAGGATTGCTCTGTGGGTGACAGCAGCTTCCTTGATGATCCTTTTTGGAACCTCAAGGCTAGACCCCCCACCCCAGCCGTGAAGGTTTTGCACATGTTGCAACAGTGTTCTGTCAGGTTTAACAGGCATCTCTCTTCTTGGTGAGAAAGGTTGTCATTCTGGGTTGATCCCCTGGAGTATGAATCTATGTGTGTGAGAGAGAGAGCTGGTCACACCTCCTGGCAACCTTCCCCATCGTCATCGGCTGTGGGCGCAGTTCAGCAGCCTAAGGCTCAGGTTGCCATTCCCTAAACTGTATCTACATTCTCTGATCAGGAAGCAGGCCCTGAGGGTCTGGGATGGAGATCCAGGGGGGGGATGCCAGAGTGCCTGCTGGGTGTCCCACTGTTCAGAACTGCTTCCTGTAGCACTGCTAAGACTGCCAGGGTGAAGTTATGCGACTTCTCCACTTGTTGCTCCAGTGTCTGGCTGGGGGCAGTAGAGCTTGTGACCCTCTCTGGTGTTAGAATCCGAACTCGAGTTTCTTCCTTGGGACTTGGTAGTTTATGTAGGCCACATTGCATTAGCCTTGCAAAGGTGGGCTCTGTGGGGTGGTGGTGGTTGAGAGTGTGTGAAACATCAGGGCTCAGGTCGGGTGGCCTAACAGTTAGCACAGATGTAGGGAGCCATTGAACAAAGGTCCCTAATGCAGGTGCGCCTCGCTAGTTTGGCTGTGTTGTCTGCGGAACCAGAGAGAACGCAGGGCACTGCACGTGCCGGGCGGCTCCTCCACCACCTTCCCCACATCCTGTTTCCACTGTGTATTTTTGTAGTTTGGTCTCCTAACAGAAACCTTAGGATTCTGTCATGTGACTACTTTTTTTTTTCTTTCTTTCTTTCTCCCCCCCCCCTCCGTGAGAGCCTGTAAAATGAAAACAAATTTAATCAATTGGTTTTTAGATTTTTCTTTTTTTGTTTGTTTTGGTTTTTGAGACAAGGTTTCTCTGTGTGACCCTTGCTGTCCCAAAGACGCGTGCTACCACACCCAGCTCGTTTTTAAAATTTCTATCGATCGTAAAGTGACGGTGTCCAGTATTAGTTCCTGAAATATTGTAAACGGGCCGGACATGCCACATGCTCTTCACTCCTGAAACGCTCTTTTACTTCCGTAGCATCCACGCACTGCGTGTTTTCAGGGAGCACCCCTGGTCGGTGGTCTGATATCCTTCTGGGTATACGAGTAGACTCCTCTTGCCCTCTTCTTGTATCCCTTCATTACCCGCTGATGCTGGACTCTCTTGCTGGTGAGAAGGCCTGTCAACCAGACATGCGTAGAGTCCAGGTCCCCTCTTCTAGGCTTGTAGCGCCTGCTGAGGGCAGTGCCACTGTGGCTCCCCTAGCTGGGTTTTTATTTAGAGTCTAGCTGAGTGACAACCTTATTTGTCAGGACGATGTCAAAAGAGGAGATGGCAGAATTCTGTGAAAGTCTAAGCGAGTCCTTCCCATCACCATCTTGTGGAGGTCCCTAGGAAGCTGACACTGGGTGTCTTCAGAGGTAGCTCCTGTTTTCCCTCTGCTTTTTGAGACAGACCCTCCTGTATCCCATGCGAGGATAGCCTCACAGTGGTTAAATAGGCCAGGATGACCTTGAACTGCTAGTCCTCCTGCTTCTGCCTTCCTCCCGAGGACTATGGGAATACAGGCATGTACCACTAGCCTCAGTTTATGTAGCACTAGGGAATTGAACCTGGGGCTTTCTGTGCATTGCGGAGGCACTCTGCCAGCTAGCTGGAACCACCCCTCTTTAGATACACTTATCTTGATAGCAGTACCAGGAAATCAAGATACAGGAGATTCTTGAGTTCAGATTTGACTTATGTTCTCAGCTGCATGCCGTGTGGCCCTGGCTAGGTTGTTCTGCTTTCTGTTTTCCAGTGCTGCGTAAAGTGAAGGTACTTCCCAGCGCCAGGGAGGCAGAAGCAGGCAAAACTGCACAGTGAGATGCTGTCTCAAAAAGCCAAGAACAAAACAAAACAGATGTGGGATATGATATGCTTTATCCTTCTAGGGATCAGATTCTGATGCTTCTTGGTCATGTTGAAGTACCTAAGAACTTCATTAAAAACGGATGTGGGTGGGGCTGGAGAGCTGACTCACTGGCTAAGAGCTCTTCATGCTCTTATACAGGACCAGAGTTGAGTTTCAGGCCACCTGTAAGTGCAGCTCCAGGGGGACCAGTGCCCTCTTCTGGCCTCTAGGGCACTTGCACTCACATGCACATAGCACATGCAGACACAAGTGCACACGTAGTTAAAAATACAATCTTGGCTGGGTGGCAGTGGCGCGTGCCTCTAATCTCAGCACTGGGGAGGCAGAGGCAGGCAGGATCTCTGGCTTTGAGGCCAGCCTGGTCTACAGAGCAAGTTCTAGGACAGCCAGGGCTACACAGAGAAAGCCTGTCTCAATAAAATAAAATAAAAACCTTGGCTTGCTCCTGAATGCACATGCTACATATAAACTCACAAAGGCACACACAAATACATAAAAGTAATAAATAAGTAAATGTGTTTAAAAGAAAAACAAAACACTGAAAAGGGGTCTGGCCAGAGGGCTCAGTGGGTAAAGGTGCCTGTCGCCAAGCCTTACAGCCTGAGGTCAGAACCTGGAACCTGGAGCCCACATCATGGAAGGAGAGAGCTGACTACCAAAAGGTGTCCTCTGACCTCCACACTTGTGCCGTGACTGTGCATGCCTCCCTAGTAAGTAAATAAATGTAATAAAAACTGAAAGTTAAAAAAAAATGATAAAAAAAAAAGAGCCCTGCAGTGGTAGCTCACGCCTTTAATCCCAGCACTTGGGAGGCAGAGGCAGGTGGTTCTCTGTGAGTTCAAGGCCAGCCTGCTCTACAGAGTGAGTCCAGGACAGCCAGGGCTACACAAGAGAAAACCTTGAAAAACCAAAATGGGAAAAACAAAACAAAACACCTAAAATAGCATCTTGGAAGTGAGATGTGCCACGGACTTGCTTTGGAGGAGCAATGAGATCGGCTTTAGCTACCCTCTACGGTCCCAAGCTCTTTCTCTCCTTTCTTACCCCCACCTCTCACCTGTTCTTTACCTTCTGCGTTTGTTTCCTGGAGCACCGTGGGTTCATTTTTCTGGGCCTGGAGACTGCAAGTCTGAAAACAAGAGCCATAGCCATGCCTGAGGCTCTAGGGGAGCTCCCGTCCTTGCTCCTCCCTCTTCTCAGGCAGCTGGCCGTCCGTGCCATTGCTTGTCTCATAGTTTTATCACTCATGTCTGAAACCATGCTTAAGCTAGATTGTCAATGGCTCCCCCCCCCTCTCTCTCTGCCGTCAGTGAGTGACACTAACCGTTGGATTTAGGCAGGCCCAGATCAATCCAGCAGAAACTCACATCAACTTGATTAAATGTGTAGAGCCGGTTTCCAGAGTCACATTCTGGGGACATGCTGATTAGCAACAGTCGTGGGATGAAGTAATTCACCTTGAGAGGGGATTGCCTTCTCGAAACGTCATTGCTTTCAGCCAGAACTCAAGAGAGAGCTGGGACTGGGTGGAGGGAAAGATGAGCATGTTGGCATTTGAGGACAAGTGCAGTCCTCGCCTCAGCTCTAAGGGACTAGAATATAACACAGGAAGTGGCAGGGCTGGGAAGGAAGGGCTTTGGTCTTCATAGTCGGCGACCACCAAGGCTGTAGGTGGGATGAAGGTGCTTCTGTGACTTCGCAGAGTGCAGCCGTGACTCCAGGCTCTTCCGCTTATCATCATGTTATAGAAAACCACCTGTCTAATTGCATGGAGTTATGGGGCTACACAGAGCTGGGGGCTGAGTCATGTTTTCTTGTTTTGAAGACTCTTTCTCTCCCTTTTCCTCCTTCCCTTCCTACCTCTTTTCCTCTCCCCTTCCTCCCCTCTCTTTCTGGCTTTAAGCCCCACCCCCTTTGGACACAGTCTCCCTCCACAGCCCGGGCTATATGTGGCTCAGCCTGGTCCTAATCTTGTTGCAGTATTGTCTCAGGCTCTCAAGTGTCAGGATTACAGGCAAGAGCTAACATCTGGCCAAGTGTTTTTTTTTCCCCCCCTAACAGCCAAATAGAGATCAGTTGTATTATTCTGACACCAAGCTCCAAGCATAAGAGGGAAGAAAGCCCTGAGTTAAGAGCGCACTCCCCAAATGGATGTCAGTTCTAAATTAAGAATGCATTGTCCAAACGGATGTGGAGTTAGGTCGCAGTCCCTGCCGCCGGCGAAGCGAAGCAGCTGGTGTTCTTGGGGACACGGCACACGTGTAAGGCCCCAGCAGGGCCTTGAAGTGTTCCATAAACTAGAGTTGATACTGTTATTATTCCAGACACCTTGGAATGGAAACAGTTTTGTTTCCGGTAAGGTCTGGTCTGAGAGCTTATGATCCCGTGGTGTGGAGGGCAGGCAAAACCTTTTTCTCTGTCGGGAACTTTGACTTCTCCACCCCGGAGCCCACCTGCTCTGAAAGCTGTTTCTTTCTCATGTTAACAGTTTGTAAGAGAGTGAGAGGTGTGGGGTCCAGATTGTCTCTGTCCGTCCGTCCGTCCGTCCGTCCGTGTGTGTGTGTGTGTGTGTGTGTGTGTGTGTGTGTGTGTGTGTCCTGGGCCTTGGGCATCTTAAGCTTATGCTCTGTTACTCAGTCTTCACCTCCAGCCCTGATGACTTTGTAAAACCCTCACCCACTTCAAAAAGAGCCTTTTCAGAGGAGCCAAAAGGCAGGAAGTGAGCAGCCAGGGGCCTGGCTTCCAGCGTCGCCACAAAACAAAACCATGCATGCTGCGTCCCCTGCCCATACAGCCTCAGAAAAATGAAGGAGAGCAGGGGGTGGGAGAAGAACCCAGCGTCGGATTCCCAGACCTGGTCTCTGGGTCCGTACCTGGCGAATATAGGTAGCCACAGGATTTAGGGCCCACCGTACTTTGTAGAGACTTCTTCCTCACATAAGATTGGAAATTTCTGTTTGCATATCTTGGAGTTTAGAGTTAAGACCTGAGCACTGATGCTTTATGGGGAGGACTACAATTAAATCTACTATAGATGAGGTTTTTTTTCAGGTGCAAATAGAGTGGATGGAGGGGTTCAAAGGCCCAAAAATACTGGCATTTTGTGTTCCCTAGAGCGGTAGCTCTGGCCTGGTTGGTGCTGCTCTCTAACACCAGCCCCTGCCTTGTTAGCGGTGGTACTTTTAGATGAGACATCCAGTGATTAACATCCCACCCTGGGGAGCAATGGAGACCAAATCTCTTGTTAACAAATTAATTTCTTTGAGAGAAGTTGGCACACGGGGGAAGCCAATGCCTAACCAGCTAGTGTCTGTGGTTCCTTTGGTAGGTGGCACACAGGCAGTTTCCAGCAGCAAGAGCCTGCCTAGTGGTAGCCTTTCCAGAGCCACAGACTTACATGGTATAAACCCTCAGGGGGCTAGAACACACAGCCTTCATTCTGTCTGTGCGCGCAATACTCCCAAGAAATGTATAAATTCAGGTAGAGCCCAAAGAATCCTGTGACATCATTCTCTCTGGCACATTTTTTCCCCCTGAGAGACAAAAATCTTCCATTAGTCTATGCCTCCCTAAATTTTGCCTTTACTATTGAAAATACTTCACCGAAAGACAAGGTCCATTGTGCCTCCTGGTGGCTATTGAGTGCCATAGGCAGACGGGAACCTGGCATTCTAAAGAAGGTGTATTCTAGAGTATGTGAGGTCTAGGATACAAGGGCACCTTGGGAAAACTTTGAAACCAAATTGTTTAGTTAAAAAACAAAAAAGGTAAGCTGAGAGGGTGGTAGTACATTCCTTTAGTTCCAGCACTCAGGAGACAGAGGCAGGTGGATCTCTGAGTTAGAGGCCAGGTTGGTCAACAGAGTGAGTTCCAGGGTAGCCAGAGCTGCACAGAGAAACCCTGTCTTGAACCCCCCCCCCCAAAAAAAAGGAAAACCCCAATAATTTTAAAAAAAGAGGTATACAGAAGCAGGCAGATCTGTGAGTTCAAGGCCAGCCTAATCTACATGAAGAGCTTCAGGCCAGCCAGAGCTACATAGTCTGTCTTTTTTATTTTTTGTTGTAATTGTTTGTTTGCTTGTTTGTTTCAAGACAGGGTTTCTCTTTGTTGAGCCCTGGCTGTCCTTGAACTCACAGAGATCTGCCTCCCAGAGTGCTGGGATTACAGGCATGGGCCACTGCTCAGCTATAGTCATATCTTAAAAAGAAAAAAAAAATCAAAACAGTTTTATTAATACCTCATTTTTAGATTTGTCTATATCTATCTAGTTAGTTAGTTAGTTAGTTACTGTGTATGATGGTATTTGTTGAGATGGGGTCTCCCCAAGTAATTCTGCCTAGAACTCACTGCTTTGACCAAACTGGCTTTGAGCTCATAGAGAGTACCTTGCGTCTTCCTCCCAAGTGCTGGGATTAAAATCCTGTGCCACTTCACCCAGCAAGAGAAGTTTTAAGTTTATGGAAAATTCAGAAAAATTAAACAACCCAAGTATTTCAACATCTTAGTATAACACATCGGACACAATTATTAAAACTAGAATTTTGTCATTTGTTTAGATTTCCTCGGTATTTGCCTAAAGTCCCCTTTCTGTTCCAGAAATCTTGTTCCTGATCACATTTAATTTCCTCAGGTTTTTCTTTGTTGGACACTTTCTCACACTTCCCTGCTTCTTACGACGTTGGGAGTTTTGGTGAGCCTCTGGTCAGGTGTCTTTTAGCATGTCCTTCTTTGGGGGCTTGAGGTTTTATGTCTTAAATTTCGTCTGTTGGAAGCTTTCTGTAGTTTGTCATTGTACGGGGCTGTGAAACGTCGGCAGAAGCAACACGAGGGAGAAACTTGTGGTGTGTGGTCCCTGGGACCATTAGTTCCGAGTGGTAGGGAGGCCTCTAGCACAGCTTCTTGTACCTATCCTGGCAGCAGGTGGGACTCAGAGCGCTCACGCAGGAGGTTGCGTTCACCTGTGACGCTCCAGCCCCACCCCTATTGCCGCTTCTCTGCCAAGTAGGCATCCCGTGTCCAAAACAGTCTCTAATCTCCCCAAATTGCCACTATCTGGGGACAGAGCATCGTGTGGGCTTGTGGGAGACATTGCTTATTTAAATCATAACATAGTCAACCAAGGTATTTTACAAGTAGCAATCATAGATCAGTGACATTGGATGTTCCAGGACAAAGATTTGAACCCAGGCAAGGCAGCCCAGGAGATCACTGTGCTGTTGGTGCTGCCTCCCATGGGGGGTGGGTGGGGGGTGGAGAAACTGCCTGAGGCTGCCATCTCAGAAAATCGGTCAACCAAGTGATGACCAAGAAAATAGGACAGTAACTAGAGTCCATTAGAAGTGGATTGGATTCCTGTCTGGTGATAGAGATCAGAGAAAATGTCTTGAAATAATCCTTAGGGTCATCAGGATGGCTCATCGGGTACGGGCCTTTGCCACACAAGCCTCACAACCTGAGCTGTATCCTTAGAGTGCGTGTAAAGGCGGAGGGAGAGAGCTGACTATGTACGGTTGTCCCCTGAACCCTGCATGCATGCTGTGGCGTTAGCATGTGTTCCAATGAATATGTGCATGCGTACGCGCACATACTAAATATGTTTTAAAAAATAAAATATTCCCCACCTACATATACTTTTGAGCTCTTCTGCCCTTCTCATTACGTGCTCCTCTGTGATTGGCTGTGTTCTTAAATGCCACTGAAAGAAAGCTATTAGCCATCCGTCTGGCTAAATGTTGGCAGAAAAATCAGTTGTGTTGAATGTGTTAGGTTGAGGTGCCAATGAACCACACTGTGCTCATCGCTTTGTGAGCAATTTGCAGGTTCCTAAAGGGTGACATGGACTCTGACCAGATACTGGCTTTTTGCGTGTCGACTAGAAGCTCATTTCTGTGTAAGAGACGCTCTATTAAATTAGCTTTCATTTACAGTTGGGGGTACCCAGGCTTAGGAAGGTGTGAAAGCTGGGGATGGTACTACTGAGGAAGACTACTTTAGGCCCAGGAACCTCTACACACATGGCTGTGTCTGTAGGACACCAAGAAAGCAAGACCCGTGTTTAGGGGCTCAGACCTGCAGACTTGTCACTCAACTTGTCCGTGAATTTTTTCATGTATGATGTGTGTGTGAGAGTCTGAGATTCTCTGGGCAAGAGTTTGGTATCGTAAGTGGCGTCAGTAGCTGGTAAATGTATGGTAAGCAGAGGGCAAGGTGGTACATGCCCGGATCTCCGTAGGTTCTAGGCCAGGCAGAGCCGCAAAGTGAAATGAAATCGTTCTCACAACATTTTTGGGAAGAGGGATGCTGTATGTTGTGAGTCCATAGGAAACCCGGGTGACTTGTATTCTACTGAGTGGCAGATGGTAGCAGACAGTGATTTTACCTGGCGAGCTTCCAGTCCTCCGAGAGGTTACTTTTGCCTCGTTGGAGATCTTCCCTTCACCCTCTGTTAATATGGATCCTTTGTTTTTGGCCACAGAATGTACTGAAGGAACACGTGGACGACGACCCCAGCCTGGCCATCACTGGGGTCCCCGTGGTCAGTTGGCCAAAGAAGACTCCAAAGGTAAGACACAGATTGCTCACGGGTGGGAGACCACTTCTCATCGCCTTCCACCCATCCTAGAGGATGAGAGTTCGGAGCGGTTCCTCACTGGCTCCCGGGAGAGGGCACCCCACTTAAGCATGGATGGTCTTAAGGAAATGTCCGCTGCAAATGCTTTCCTAGCTATGCAAACTGCAGCAGCGGGCCCTGGCGGCCAGCTGTGAACATGAGACTTGGTCATTGCGTGATTTGTCTCAAATTTTCCTGTCTTTTACTTTGTTCCCTCCCTTTTAGAGTAACTTCTTTTGCTTCATAAAACTAAGTAGCATTTAATATAAGATGTCTAAACTGGGGCTCGGCAGATGAGTGAGCACGAAGGGCTTGTGGGACAGAAGGAAGATCTAGCCACTCTGTTTCCCATCCACCTGCACTCGGCTTCACCATTGAGATGCACAAGTTAAATACAGTGCCCCATCGGTTTGGACCAGTGCCTGGAATGGTTCTGAGGACTCCGTGTGATTACGCACACAGAGCGTTCAGAACAAGGGCTGGCCTATGGTCAGCACCTCCTAAGTCAGTGCTTCTCAGCCTTCCTAATGCTGTGACCCTTTAGTACAGTTCCTCATGTTGTGGTGACCCCCAACCATAAAACTTTTCTCGTTGCTACTTCATAGCTGTAATTTTGCTACTGTTATGAATCGTAAAGCAAATATCTGATTTGCGGGGTGGTCTTAGGCGACCCCTGTGAAAGGGTCGTTCTACCGCTGCTCTAAATGATTGCCTTTGTTGCTCCTGCTGGCATATACTCCAAGCACACAAAGAGTTGAGGCACGAGGACATAGAATATGTCTATTTATGTATGTCCACGTATGTCTGTGTAACCCAGCCTGGGCTACGTGGCTAGTTCAAGGCCAGTAAGGGCTCCACAGTGGCACTATCTCAATAAATTAAGCGCTAGAGATTTAGCTCAGTGGTAGAACATTTTTGGGAGTATCACAGGAGAGGTTCTGTGTTAGGGTTAGATCCTTAACTGTAGGCCGAAAGTAAAAAAGAAAGAGTTATCTGAGCTTGGGCTATAGTTCAGGGGTAGAGTTGCCGCTTCACAAAGTCCTAGCTTTCATCTTCAAGAAAATATTGTTATTAAGTAGCCACAGTGGATGGTTTGCCAATCCCTGACTTTTCTTTTCTATTGTAAAGGGCAGTGAGAAGAGCTTTCTAGACCCATAGGCACTGTCAACAGTGACCCCCTAGCCATTTGTAGTACTGTGCATTTGAAATATGACTTGCCGATATCGAAAGCACTCTGTGTAAAATGTACAGCAGATTTCAGAGACAGCACAAGAAAAATGTAAGCTACTTTATTAATTTTCATATTATTGAAATTAGTGTTGTCTGATTTTTTTTTAAATGCCCAGTAAAATTTGAATGTCAGATGAATAACAAATTCTTTGTATAGGTGTGTCCCCAGTGTTACATGAGATATACTTATGTCCAAAAAAATCATGTTCATCTGAAATTTAATCTAGGCACACTGTATTTTTAGTTGGTAAATCTGGAAACCATAGTTGAAATGACAATTTTTTTTCAGAGATAGCAGTTTAAGAGGATGGATTATTATTCTTTCTTTCTTTCTTTCTTTCTTTCTTTCTTTCTTTCTTTCTTTCTTTCT